CTGACGAGAAGTTTAAGCGGTTGGGCAACAATTTAGTCGACGCCTCTGCGAAAGTGGCGGCCCGCTCCCCACACCCAGCCAGACGATTCTGGTATGCAGAAGGTAGATCAGAATATCGCCGTCGCGAGAGCAGTGGGTGTTTTCGCGGCCAAGCTGTTGCCGTTGTGGCCGCCCCTGCGGTTAGGAGAGGGAGTCGAGCGTGTGAAACCCGAAGCGGCGCCTCGCGTCGCTCTCGTCCCCCACCTGTGGACTCGCCTCTCGAAATTATGGCGCTGTGAGGGATGTTGCAAAGTCTCCCGTTCCATCACTGTCCCGCCGTCTGGCCACTGCCGAGGTCTTCATTAGCTAGATCTGGCAGCTCTGGCCAGTCTCCTGCATAGAGTGATTGATTTAGAATGTCCTGGTGGAACCTCCCTCGTCGTCTGTTTGCGCTGCAAGGCTTACTCGGGACACGGCATGGTGCGCAATCTGGCCAAGGATTGCTTGGGCTCCCCCACCAGTGCGGGCGCTCGCTACTCCTGGAAGCTGATTTTTCCCAGGGAATTCACCCGAAGTCCCCTGAAGTCACTCTCCAGGTTGGCCCCTGGTCACAGAGTACCTAAGGTACGGGGCCAGGCGAAGCTGTAGCCCCTCGATGCTGCTCCACTTTTTTCACCGGTGAATGGCACCGCGCGGGAAAAACTAAATCCTCCTCCTCCTCCTCCTCCTCCTCCTCCTCCTCCTCATCCTCCTCCTCCTCCTCCTCCTCCTCCTCCTCCTCCTCCTCCTCCCCCTCATCCTCCTCGTCCTCCTCCTCCTCATATTCCTCCTCCACCTCCTCCACCTCCACCTCCTCCTCCTCGTCCTCGTCCTCCTCCTCCTGCTCCTCCTCCTCCTCCTCCTCCTCCTCCTCCTCCTCCTCCTCCTCACCACCACCACCACCACCACCACCACCACCACCACCACCACCACCAAAAGCCCCTTTTCAGCAAACAAGGTCACGTGCCGAGGAGGCGAGAGCGGGCAACGGCAATAGCAGGGACCAAGACATGTTCATTCAGAAGCGCTACCCTCACCGAATTGTCCCTGGTCCTGTTGAGAAGCATGTCCAACATGCACGCCCAACATGGCACGCTGATACTCCACGGCGGATAGCATGAAGCGATTCGAACCCAGGTGTGATTCCGCACACACCGAACTCTTGCTCGCCTGTGAAAAGCTCAAGAAAAAACACGATGCCAAAAGAAAGGGAAGCCACAGCTGGAACAAAACGGGCACCAAATGGGATGTCTGGCTTGTCCGTCGAGCCACACGATTAACAATCATATATCACACAAAACTATTTCCAGTAGAGAGAGGCGATATCGGATTCAACACGAAAGCACAATATCACATTCAATGTGAAAATCCTTGGGCGGAACCAAGCGGATGGGGGGCAAGACGCGGTTCCCGGCACGTGCTGTGCAGAAACCAGATCCCAGCATGCGGGCGGCAAGACAAGGAACTAAACTCACTTCCCCCGCTGGAGACCGTCCCCGCCACGCAGATCCTCACGGGCAGTCGACTCCACCAACGACAGCACAGGGTCGGCCAGAAACTCTGTCAAGTTCTCCCGCAGCTTCGCAGTGCCCTGCGTCATGCCGCCGGAAATAACACGAGCTGCCGAAATCCACCGGACGTTCTCGACGGAGACCTCGCCCCGGATGGAAACGACGTCAATCGTGGTCCGGTTCTCGGCCCAGCCGGGCACCGGCTGGCGCAATGCCTTGCGCGGAGACTTGCAGTCGGTCGCAATGATCACCTCAATGATCTGAACACGGCGGCCAACAGGCCTTCAAGCGACCATCTCGGACAGCAACATCGAAAAGTAGAAGGCGCAATCAACCCCCGAGTCCCGAGCAATAGCTTCTCCAGCCAGCGTTTATCCCACTGCTCTCGGGGTCGCATTGGACACGTGAAATAGGAGCGCGCAGCGCGCGGGCCCCACCAGAATGGCCATGTCTGCGGGACAAACCAGCGCGCCGATCTGCGCCGTCAAACCCAGACCGCCGGCCCATGAACGGGCGGCGCCCAAACTCACGGAAACCACGTGCCATCCTGTCGGCGCAGTCCTGCGGGCATACCCCACGCGCCCCATGGCCTGTTCTAAGCCATTCAACTCGGGGCCAGCCCTCTGCACGAGCGCAACAGAGGCTGCAAGACCAGTCCGAGTGCCCCGACTGCCACTGCAGAGATCCAACTGCTGACTCCAGGTCCTCGCGCCCAGAGCGGGCCAGCTTAGATGGCGACCTCGCGCTCGACATCGCTCCGACCTTCGCGAAGGCAACGGCTGGCGCAGGCGGCCCAGTGAGTGAACAAACTCTCGTCTACAGTTCCCTGCGCCAACTGCTGGCACCCCTCGCCCAGGACCGCGAAGTCGGCCCACTGCCAACCTCGCCGCTCGATCGCCTTCTCGACCGGCGCGAGACTGAGAGCGGGGCAACACGCGCCGCTAGCGCGACGCCGACGAACATTCGGACGGCGCAGGCCAGCTCCTCGTTCGGAGAGAACCACGGGAACGGAGACGAGTCGAGGCCGCGCAGGACGGCCCCGAGAAAGGAGGGCGACAACCGCGCGCCTGCACCGCGTGCGCGGCGAGGTCGGCCGGCCACGCACGTTGCCCACCACCTCGTAGAGCGGCGCGGCAAACACTTTAGCGGCGCAAGCCATCGGACCCTTCGGCGGGGCCGCGCAGCCGGCTTCTTCGCGCTCACTCTGCGCCCCTCCTTGAGACAGGCACTCCCGGCATCCCCAGTACCGACCCGTACTCGATAAGACGCAGCTACCTGGCATATCAACTTTGATCCAGCGTCGGTCAAGACTGGGGCCCTACGAGGCAGCACCTCGAGGCCATCTGAAAACCCAAACATAACTGGACGCGCCTGCGCCTTCAATGGCGGGGCCCGAAAATCTCATCGCGTCGCGGTAAAACTCGCGAACGAACGCAGCGTTTCCGAAGATGAGAATCACGGATCACGGCGGACACGATCAACTTCCTCTTGAGAGCAGGCCTGGACTGACATCCAGGAACCGTAGTTCTGGCATTCCTTCCCAAGGGCCTTGACATACTCCATGAACTGGTCCTCGGGACAGTGGGCGATCTCGCGCCGGGGGATCTCGCGATCCAATTGGCGCTGCTCACGCCTCGAAGGTTGGGCGACCGGGCGGCGCCCTCGATCTGGGCTGTCGCGCAGTCAACGCCCCCGTCGTGGTAACCGCTGAACTACTGGTAGGTCAAGCGGAGGCAGATTGCCATGTCGCTGATCGGCTGGATTTCGTCGTCGGAGGCCCCGTCGAACAGAATGCCCATCGAGCGCCTCGGAGTTCAGGCAGCGCGCGTCGCTGGTCTCCTCCCCTGGGTCGAGGCGAATACAGACGCGAGTCCCGACGAAGGCCGGCTCCTCCACGCCGCCACAGCCATCGGGGGCGACGAACTCCATCTCGCCCATCTCGTTGGACACGAAGGCCGCCAGGCTCGATGGCCTCCTGCCGAGCTTGCCCGGCCTGCGCCCCCTCTCCCGCGGCGGCTGGATAAAGGGCGCCGCGCTGCCCGATGCGGGTCGAGCTGCCGACTGATCTCGCGCGCGCGGTGCTGACATCCTTGCTCGTGGCGTCGCTGACCTTTCCGCTATCGGACTGGTCCAAACTGCGGCTGCGCCGGCCAAGGAAGCGGCGATTGTCGACCAGGGCCCTCGTCCGCAGCACGGCGAGGTCACCCGACGAGGAGGCGCGCGTCCTCGCCCGACTCGCCTCAGAGGCGCAGGTGGCTCCTCAGCTGGTGCCACCCATAGAGGAAGTGCTGCGGGCGGCGCAGTTTCGGGGGCGCGGTCGGCAGACGCGCCACCACAGTTCTATAGGGTGGCGTTGTCTCCAAGAGCAGCCATATCAGGGTGCCCCTGGATGGACTCAAATGGGACTGCCAGTGGGGGCAGAAGAGGAAGAACTCGTGCGTGCGGATCTCATGGCTCGGGATGGCCCTCCATTGGTCCTTCCGCCGTCATGTGGGAGGCGTCGCCCATGCCGGCATTGACCAGGTCCTGATCGGCATTCCTGAGCTGTTTGGGGTCCTCGTCGTTGGGTGCCTAGCCCTCGGAGCCGACAGTTAACTAGTCGGAAGTGTTCCCGAGACACCTGCACGGCACGACGCGCAATCCGATGCCAAGCAGACCCGCCCACGCAAAAGCCGCTAGTGCCCAAGTCCCAGGCGTTGAAGATGCCCGGGCGATCTCCCACGATAGGTGTCTCGCCCCGTCGCCCGCGCCCACGCTCACCCCAAGCGGCGGCCCGCTGTCCGGCCACGAAGTCGCACTCTTTGCAATTGACCGGCCGGCGCAGAAGGGGCGCGCGAAGGGCCTCGCCCGCCTCGCGGTCGGCGGTCGCATTCGCCGCCTCGATGCGGCACCTTTCCCCGCGGGCAAGCATCTGGTCCTGAGTGACGTTGCGGAAGTACTTGGCGGACGTAGCATCGGCCAAGAGCTCGGCCGGCAAAGTCGGCACTCGCCCGAAGGCAGCGAAATGCGCGGCCGGCTCGGAGGCCCAATTGATTCACGGCGCGGCGGGCAGCGAAAATCGCCGAGTCCACGTGCCCAAGGGCCGTCGGCATGATGATCGAGATCCATCGCCGTCTCGAAGACGCGGCGCGCAGCGCCTTTGCCCGACTCGGCCAAACCCAACTGCCGATGGGCCCCAGGCGGCACGCACCTGACGCAAGCCCCCATCGCCCTGCAAGTGTCGAGGAAGACGCACTGGGAGGCGCCGTCGCGATCGACCGCGAGGATCTGCGCGATCCCGAACGGCACGAGCCAGCGCGTCTGAAACTTCCCCCACGCGGCCTCTGCTTCACGCGATGCGATTCTGTAAACCACGCGTAGCGCCGCAGCTTTGCCCACCAGGCCCAGCATCGCGCACGTCGCGCCATCGCGCGTCATGAAATAGAACAAGCCGCTATTCACAAGGTCGTTGAACAGCCCCACTCGGAGCATCTGAATTTCGCGCCGCGGCCACGGCCGGTCGCGACGAAGGCAGGCTGGGCATCAAAGCCCTCGAGCGCGCAGGAGGGCACCAAGCGACGCGCCTCTCTGCGACCAGGAATGGGAAACTCGGTGGGCGCAGGGTGTCCAAAATTTACAACACATGCGAGCTACGAGCAGACGAACTTCCAGAGGGCATTTCTCTTATGTGACTCCACCAAAGCGGACGCCTGCCATCTCGCCTGAAGCATCGGGCACGCGAGCGAACGTCCTGAGGATCGTCCTCGTCGCCGACGAGCAGGCTGATGTTCGGCGGCAATGGGTCGTTCGCGCCCCATGGAGGCGGCGCCCGCTTCTCGATCGACGATGCGCTCAGCGACTGCGGGATTGACTCCCGGGGGGCGCAGCCGCAGAAGAATGCCGCCATCTCGGCCGGCGGGGCTAGCGGTGGACCAAGGGGGGCGACGTCGTGGATGTCCTCGAGCTCGATGTGGCAGTGGCTCTTGTCGCCCACGTAGAAGCGCCCGCAATGTGACCACGGCTCCCCGTCGATGGGGGACCTTCTCTGCTTCGCCGTCTCCGCGAGCTGGAGCATCGCAAGGCCCCCAGGCACGAGCTGGCTGATCTGCTTCTACGGCGTCGAGGCCTTCGACAGGTAGCGCGCAACCCGAGTACCTCCAAAGATGGCATGCCGGACGCCCGCCACGACTTCGCCCCGCCTCGGCGGGCCCATCTGGCGTTCGGCGCGGCGTAGAGCGCGTCGGGCGGCCTCTCGCAGCTGCAGGCAACGCCCCACATTGGGGCCGCAGAGAGAAGGTCTGGAAATCGGCTCGGCCGCCTTTCTCTGCGCATCCATATGCTGGCTGCCGGAGAAAAACGCGTAGGCCATCTCGTCGGTGCACTCGCCGCTGGCCACCGTTCACATGTGCATTCTCGATCGGATCATGAAGATGGCCTCCGGACTCAAGCCGGAGTCCTGGGCAGCGACGAATCAAGACAGTCAGCAACTGCGGCGCGTTCGAGAACCAGCGATATGCCATTCGAATCGGTAAACCCGTTATTATCACACTTACCACCTTGGCATCGATGTCCAGTAGCTCTCTGGCCACGCTTCAGGAGCGGGGCGAACTGGGCGCCCCTCCAGATCGCCGCGGTCGGCAAGTTCTCGATGAGGAAATACCTGCCGCCCTTGACCTGGCACTCGACGGCCCCCTTCACGAGACTGATCAACCCGCGGCCCCCGGCGCTCAGCCCGCCCGGCAGCTCGCGGTGGCCCGCGCAATTGACGCCCGCATTGTTGGGGCACCAGAGCGGGCATGGAAAACCGATCACAACCGCGCGAGGCTCGTCCCGGGAGACTACCTTTTTCCACCGCAGCGAGCCTTGGACAGCAATGGGATCCTAGCCGTCGTCTTTGCCAGCGCCCAGCGCGGCTCGGAGCTCGAACTGGGCGGCCAGGTGCGCGGGGCGCGCCGCCCCGCGCAGCTCGCCGTGAGATCGGCGCCGCAAGCCTGGCACTCGCCCCGGCCGGACTGGAGCTCGGGGGCCGGGGCGCCCAGGAAGGCCACGTCCGCGCAGCGCGGCCCTGTCGGTCAGCCGCCCGTCTATCGGCGCCCCAAGCGACGCTGATCAAGGTCTCGCAGGTGGCGGCAATCCTCCTCGCAACTCCGAGCCGGCGCTTCCAGGCGCCCCCTCGGCCAGGTCGGGCCCTTGCGTCGGGCCCGATCCTTGGGCGGCGCCGCCCAGCCCTCCTCCTCCGAGGTCGCCGTCTTCTCGTCGCCCCAGGGCGCCGCCTTCTCAGCGCCTGTCTCCGCCGGGACGGGCTTTGCAATTTGGCCGCGTCTCGGCGCGCACCCCGGCTGGAGCCCGTCGAGGATTTGCCGGCGCGGCTCGGCGTCGCTGAAGCAGCAAGCCGACAGCGCCAAGAGGAACTCCTTGACTTTGTCGGGATATTCACGCGCAGATGATCTTCGCAGTCGCCCGCCACCCACGTCTCCAGCGACGCCCGGCGGCGACCGCGCGCCCGACGCGCCAGCCCTGGCGCGGTTCCTCGGGCAGTCGCCCCGGACGCGGCCCAGCTCGGCGCAATGCTGCCCCGTGGCCCTGGCGCTGGCGGAAGGGCCGGCGCGCTGTCTGGCGCCTGCGACGCCCCTCGCGCGATCGCCCCCATCGCGTCCGCCATCGGAGCCAGGTAGCCCATCGCGCGGCCCACCCGCGCGATCTTGCCCATCATGCGACTGGACATCTCGCGGCCCCGGCGCATCTGATTGCAGCTTCGCCCGACGATGTGCGACCTGCGATTCAGGATCAGGTCCATAGGGACCTCCCACAGGTTGATTGCCAGGTTGCCCCTGGTCGGCTTGGCCCCCTGCTTCGAGGCTCGCGGGCCCAGCGATTCCTGCTCGGCAGCGCCCCAGGGCGCCCTCGAACGACGGGGCCGCGAAGGTCAGGTCGCGGCACTCCGCGGCCGCTGGCTGGACTTCGCACCGCAGCAACAATCCACGACTGGAACGCGCAAGGGCACGCAGTGCTAAAACTGAGAACTGCGTAGGCTGAGAAACCACTCGAGCAAAGCTGTCTCCGGAGACCGACGCGGGCATCTCGAGCACCCACCCTGGGCGTCCGCAGGCGCGAACTCACAGGCCTCGGGCACCGGCGGTAACCCTGCGTCCTCAACGAGACGTCGATTTTCAGAAGTAGTTGGTCCTTAAAGGCACTCCTCAAAGAACATCGTAGAGGTTGGTCTCGGGAAAGCGCGGCCCCCCTCGCCTCAGCCGCCCAAGTGGAGGCCCAAGAGCCCCCACGTAGGGCAGGGCCCCCAAAAAAGGCTTCGGGCTGACTGTCAAGACCGAGATCCGGCATACCAGGAGCACCAGATGTCCGAGACGTATCGGGAAATAAACCGCGCACTTGCCGACAGCCCTGCCGGCCCTCAACCAGAACCTCTCCTGCTCGGCAGCCCCCCAGAAACTGAGATCCAGGCCTGCAATATACTCCGGGAACTTCCCCGGACCCTCGCGCGCCGCGACGTTGCGCCAGCAACCTGTGTCGATGACGAGATGGAACCCCATGGGAGTCTACAGCGAAGCAAACGTCGATGGGGGGGCCTGGACGTGCCAGGAGACGCAGACCTGATGGTTGTTGTCCTCTCTCCTTTCTCGCTGCCGTCAACTCGCGGGAATATTGGGAAACCTGTCGCGCTTCAGGCGAGTCCCAGAACTAAATTCGAAGGCCCTCTCGATGGCCGCCTGCCACATTGCTGTTGAAGGTGGCCACCCGTTGATGCAGCTCGTCGGTCGAGATGCGCGCAACTAACGACTCGTGCCCCGTCATGTCGGCGGGGCGCTCGCTATCTCCCCCCAGGCCGTGCGTTTCCTCATCAACGGTCGTCCCATTGACAGCGCGGGCCCAATCTCTCTTGTTACTGAATTTGAATCGGGTCTGGTTCGATCGAAAAACTGGACTGAACGAAAAAAATCGGGGCCCGTGGCTCGATCGAACCTGAGCCCGTGAAGGTGCCGCGGATACTGCATGAGAAAGACGCACTTGCTGGCGGCGATGCGGACCTCGCGAACGCGCTGGACGCAGCCGCCGAAGGTCGCGATGATGGGGGCGACGTCTGTCACGCTGACGGCGCCAGCGTCGACCCTCCCGGCGTCGACGGTCGAGGTGGTGGACGGCGATTGCCCAGCTTAGGGGCCGGCGCGCGACCAGTCCAGCTTCAGCCGGAATTCAACTCCTTCAGCTCGACGCTCGTGACCGTCAGCGCGTCAGCCACTTCCTGCATGACCGTGGCGGCGCCCGTTTCGTCGAGATCGGCCTCGTTCACCTCGGCCGTCTCGATGCCGTTATCATCCCATGGTTCGTTTTCGTCGTCTCCGTCGATGTCGGCCTCGCCGAAGTGGGGTGGATTAGGCGTTGCTCGAGGATCTCGCCCTCCTTGTCGGTCTTTGCCTTCGCCACTGCCTTTGTCATCTCCATTGCCTGGAACTCGTCGGCGTTCCTAGGGCGACCCAGTGTTTGGTGGTGTCGATGGCCACTGCATGCTCATGGCCTGGACGAGGCGGTCGAAGTCGCACTCACTGCCCGTGGCCAACAGGGGATTGCGCATCACCCCGGGGGATAGACACGCGTTCCCCGGCAGCTTGAAGGCTCGAACTTGGCCTTTATCGGCTGGCAATTCCGCGCGCCTGAGAGTCCTTTCCACATCTTTGAAATGGGCGACGCACGCGGCGAGAAGCTCGCCAGGAAGCCGCCACAGCCCTCCGCACTCCTCAATGAAGTCGCCTACCTGCAGGATTTGTTTCTTCGTCAAACGCGGCGAGGGAAGACAGCACCAGGTCAATGCCGTCATGAAGGTAAAGCATCGACCACTCCACTGACTGGATGATTTCGGCGCCCTCACTGGTGATGACGCCTGCTAAGTCCAAGACCTCCAAGACCAGTTCCACGATCGGCTTGTAGTGACGCACCCTGGCCTTCCACATCTGAACTTTTCGAATCCGCTTATGATAATATCTCGGCAATTTGCAAGTGCACTGAAAACGGGACCTCCAAGGGAGGCGGAGCTGGGCACGGTTCATCACGCAACTTTTTGCGTTCACCACGTGCGCGTGCGCGTCTAAACTCTGCCGAGGTCGAAGGCACCTCGGATGAAACGTCCTCATACTCGGCGCCGTGCTCACCTCTGTCTCCACCATCGGCCTCCGGCTCACCCTCCTGGAGCCAGTCATCGTCGTCGTCGTCGTCGGCTGGCTCAGCAGCTGCTGCCGCAGCAACCGACAGTCGGCCACCTTTGCGGCCACGATAGCGGCGAGTTCGAGTGGGTGCGGCGTCGCCGCGAGAACTCTCAGCAGCAGCAGCTCCGCGGCCAGCCGTCGTGCGATACATGCAAGATGCGTCGGAGACTGCCCGACTCAGCACGGGAGTGTCCGTCGGGTCACTGTCTGTCTACGAGCGTTCTCGTGCGAAGGAGCTCGGAATACACGTTCCGCTGCCAATGCAGTGCACAC